GCGCGGGGGTCAGTGCGAGCTGGCCAGCTCGGACGAGTCATCGGGCCCCCGATCACTCCCGCCCTCGACTTCCATGACATGGCCAGACATCCGACGTCTCGACTTTTTCGAGACGCGGGCCCCCGACCTCAGAGAAGGAACATGTACCCGTACCTCTACCCTCTACCCTTCCTTCGTTTTCCCTCGTCGTCACCGCTAGATTCGCCTCGAAATTATTTACGCTTCGCGTATCCCCACCAGCCCATCTCACAACAGCAACTCTTGCGAAGCATGCCGACAGTCGTGTTTTTCAGGCGTGTGTCCGCTTGGCCCCGCATATCTCCCCTGATACTCCTTCCTCCCGCCTCCTTGTACATCCTCCTTGTGGGGGGAGCGGGAGAAGGACGAGGCGGAGGAGGAGAGAGAGAGAAAGCGCTCCTCGTGGTTTGAGTCGTTTGGGGTTTCTCGTCCTGGTGTGAGTCGTTCGGGCCTTTCTTCCTGGTGTGAGTCGTTCGGGCTCTTCGTGGTGTGAGTCGTTCGGGCTCTTCGTCCTGGTGTGAGTCGTTCGGGCTTCTCGTGGTGTGAGTTGTTCGGGCCCCTCGTCCTGGTGTGAGTCGTTCGGGCCCCTCCTCCTGGTGTGACTCGTTCGGGGTCCTCGTGGTGTGAGTCGTTCGGGGCCCTCGTCGTGGTGTGAGTCGTTCGGGCTCCTCGTGGTGTGAGTCGTTCGGGCGCCTCGTCCTGGTGTGAGTCGTTCGGGCCCCTCGTTCTGGTGTGAGTCGTTCGGCCTCTTCGTGGTGTGAGTCGTTCGGGCACCTCGTGGCAGTGAGGCCGGTTTTTTTTTTTTTTCCGGGGGGGGGGAGGAACCCTCCCTTGAGGGGCGTCTTGGGGGATCTTGGCGGCCCAAGGGGCTTCACAGAAGCCTCTGGGTCCTCGGGGCGAGCCTCTGAGGGGCCTCTTGGGGGCCTCTGGGGGCATCTTGGGGGCTCTTGGGGGCCTCTTCGGGGCCTCCTGGGGACTCTTGGGGCATCTTGGGGCCTCTTGGTGCCTCCTGGAGGCTTCTGAGGGCCATTTGGAATTGTCTTGGGAACAAGGGGAGCTTCAATGAGCGCTGCCCCCTCAGAAGGGCAAAATGAGCCCAAACCCTTCGTAAAATCAATGATTTTGCCTTGAAGGAAGAGGGGAGCTGTAATGAGCGCTGCCCCCTTCAGAAGGCCAAAATGGGGCCAAAACCGTAGTAAAATCAATGATTTTGGCTTCAAAGAAGAGGGGAGCACTTTTCTGCCTCCCCCCGTCGGGGCCAGAATCCTCGTGAGGGTCGTCGTTTTTTAGCCCTCCCAGGAGTCGAAAATGACCCCCCCAACGACCCGCGGAGGGACCTCTCCAGGCCCAGGGGAGGGGGTAGGGGGAGGGGTAAACCCCTCCCCGAAGGGGAAGAAGGGGGGTTGAGAACAGAGTGGCTCTCTAAACCACTCACGCCCAAAGGGCTGGTGGGAATTAGTAGTAGCCGTATAGTAGTTGTAGTTATAGTTATAGGAGATGATGTAGTGGATTACTAGTTACGAGTACTAAATAGTAGTAGTAGAGGTAGTCGTAGGAGTTAGAACTTTTGCGAGTAGAAGTAGTAGTCGATGTCTTTTGGGAGGCTCTTAGAGGCCTCTTGGGGCGGTCTTCGGCGATCGCGGGATCTTGGGGACCCTCTGGGGGCATCTTGGAGGGCCTCTTGGAGGCCTCTTGGGGGCGTCCTGGGGGCCTCTTGGGGCCATCTTGGGGCCTCTTGGTCCCTCCTGGGCGCTTCTTGGGGCCATCGTGGAGAGGATGGCTCAAAGAAGAGGGAAGCTTCAATGAGCGCTGCCCCCTCAGAAGGGCAAAATGGGGCCAAAACCTTAGGAAAATCAATGATTTTGCCCTGAAGGAAGAGGGGAGCTTTAATGAACGCGGCCCCCTCAGAAGGCCAAAATGGGGCCGAAACCGTCGTAAAATCAATGTTTTTGGCTTCAAAGATGAGGAGAGGGTTTTTTCTTCCCCCCCCATCGGGGCCAGAATCCTCGTGAGGGGTGTCGTTTTTTAGCCCTCCAAGGAGTCGAAAACGGCCCCTCTGACCACCCGCCGGACTCCCTCTCCAGGCCCAGGGGGAGGGGGTAGGGGGAGGGGTAAACCCCTCCCCGAAGGGGAAGAAGGGGGGTTGGGGGGTTGAGAACAGAGAGAGCTCGCTAAACCACTCACGCCCAAAGGGCTGGTGGGATTCTGGTCAGAGCGCACCCCAGGAGATGTCCGGGGAGTCGCGGTATCTGTGCCTTGTGGTTTCCCCCCGACCTCCAGACCACTTCCTCGGGACCGGCTTTCTATTCCCAGTCGTTTCTTGACGGCCCCGAGGGAGGCCGCAAACGACGAAAAGCCTCCGCCCCGATGTTTGTCGAGAAATATGCGCGCTGCCTGGGCAGCCACCTGTGCTGGAACAGCTGGATTGTGGAGGCCCGACGGCCGGTGCCGCCGACCCTGAAAGACATCGACGACCACCAGGAGGAGGAGGAGGAGGAGGAGGAGGAGGAGGAGGAGAAGGTGGAGGAGGAGGAGGAGGAGGAGGAGGAGGAGGAGGAGGAGGAGGAGGCGGAGAGAAGGAGGAGGAGGAGGAGGAGGAGGAGGAGGAGGAAAAGGACTTTCTCCTGGGACCCCCCCACGTGCCACCTGTGCTGGCACAGCTGGATCTTTGGGCCCGGCGCGAGCTCCCCCCCGAGCGGAGGGTCAACTGGCACTCGGGCGCCCAGACCCCCGGAGGAGGAGGATGAGGAGGAGGAAGAGGAGAAGGAGGAGGAGGAGGAGGAGGAGGAGAAGGAGGAGGAGGAAGATGAGGATCTCTCGCTGGCCCCCCCCCCCTTCCGTTCCCCCATCGGGACGTTCAGGGCGGAACGCCCCCCAGTGGCCCGGGATCGGTCGACTTGCGACGACCTGCGTGGTCGGGGGGGGAGCCGGCCGCGAGCGTCCAAGGCTGGACCCAGGCATCAGGCGTCTCGACAAAATCGAGACGGAGGTTTTTCTATATTTTTTGGCTCTCGGGGCCCTCGCTGGGCATCAAGACCGTCAACAAAACGACTCGGGACGAAAAACCAGGCCTGGGGAAGTGGTCGGGAGGTCGGGAGCCCGCGTCTTGAAAACGTCGAGACGTCGGATGTCTGGGGGGGATCCGCGCGGCGTGAGAAACCGGTGCCGCGGTCGTCGCGACGGCGGTTCACGGGGGAACGCGTCAACCCCCTCGGCGCCGCCAGGGGCCTCGTCGCCCTTTCATCGCCAACAGGGGCCTGATAGCCTCCCCCCATCTTCGGGGGACTGGGACTCGGAGGAGGCCCAGTGAAGGCAGAGGCGGCTCGCCCCCTCGGACTAGCCCTGCGCAGATCGGTCCCAGGACAGATGGGCCTGTTTTCCACCACCACCGCCATGAGTTAGAGGGGGGAAGGAGGAGGAGGAGGACGAAAAGGAGGAGGAGGAGGAGGAGGAGGAGGAGGAGGAGGAGGAGGGGGAGGAGGAGGAGGAGGAGAGCCCTCCCCCCTCCAACTTATGGTGGTGGTGTTAAGTCGGGCCTGTCCCTCTACAGGGGGAATATTCAAAAAGATTCAAAAAATAAACATAGTATGTGGACTATTTTGTTTAAAATAGTTTTTGGCCATTTGGAGGCATTTCTCGAGTTTTTTTTTTGTTCGTCGCAAATCCCCCCTGTAGGGGGACACGCCCGACTTGATGGTGGTGGTCGACAACAGGCCCACCAAGGAGCCCTCCCGGGGGCCATGCTGGCCGTACACCTTAGGCGATGCTTAAGAAAACTTAAGTTTTCGGCCAGAATCTCAATTATTCTTAACGTTTCAATGCAAATCTTAAGATTTGAATGGAAATGTTGGGTTTTGTATTCAAGTTCTGAGAGTATGAATTTCTTAACCCATGATTTCTTAAGCATTTCGCAGGGTGTATATCCGCGGCGGGTCCAGCCGTGGCGACGATAAGCCTCCAGGAGGCCCAGAGCGGAGCGGAGACCGCGGGGGAGGGGCGCCGTGGTCCCGGCCGGCCGTCCTCCGAGGGGGGCAGCCTGTGGGCGGGGGCGGGGTCCCTCCAGTCGGGCGAAGAGAGCTATGCACATGCACCGATCCTGGCAAGGCCCATCCTGACAGCGTCCATCCTTGACCCAGGATCGGTGCATATGCCTTCCTGGCCAAGGTAGGAGGGCGTATGCACCGATCCTGGGCTCAGGATGGGCCTGGTCAGAATCGGTGTATGTGCATAGTTCTCTTTCCTCTATCCAGGTCCGGGGGCGGCGAGGGCCACACCTTCAGGGCGCTCGGCAGGGACCTGAGCGGCGAGGGCATCGTGGAGAGGAGAACCTCCCTGACGAAGGAGCTGCATGGGGGGATTCGAACCGCTGTCGCCATCGTCATCCTCGTCATCATCATCATCATCATCATCATCATCATCAGCATCATCATCAGCATCATCATTAGTTATCACCATCATCATCAGCACATCATCATCATCATCATCACCATCACCATCATCATCATCATCGTCATCAGCATCTGCATCTGCATCAGCATCAGCATCAGCATCATTACCGTCACCATCATAATCACCATCACAATCATCATACTCATGATGATGATCATCATCATCATCACCATCATCATCATCATCATCATCATCGCCATCATCAGCATCATCAGCATCACCATTATCATAATCATATTCGGCAGCATCTACAGTAGCATCAGCATCAACATACTCATCAGCAGCGGCATTAGCGTATGCGTCAGCATCAGCATCAGCATCAATTCCAGCAGCATCAGCATACTAATCATCGTCGCCATCGTCATCGTCATCAGCATCATCACCAGCATCATCTTCATCAACACCATCATCATCGTCATCACCATCATTACTTACACTAGCATCACCATCATCATCACAACCATATTCATAAACGTAATCACGATGATCATCATCATACTCATCATGCTACTCACCATTATCATTATCAGCATCATGATCAACAGCATCAACATCGCCACCATCCTCACCAACATCATCATATCGTATTCATTACCATCGTCATCAGTATCACCATCACCATCACCATCACCATCATCATCGCATTCATCGCCATCATAATTAACAGCATCAGCAGTATCAACATCATCATCATGATACTCATCATCGTCGTACGCATCAGCATTATCATTATCGTCATCACTCACACCATTGCTCATCATACTCATAATCACCATCAGCATCAACATCATCATCACCATCATCATCATCATCATCAACACCATCTTCACCAAAACCACCATGATCACCATCACAGTATCATTACCATGATGAGCATGACGATCATCATCGACATCCTCATAAGCATCATCAGCACCATTATCATCAACATCATCATAAGCATCATCATCTTCATCGTCATCATCATCATCACCATCATCATCACTATAGTCGCCATCATCAGCATCATCAGCATCATCATCAGCATCACCACCATCATCATCATCATCAGCATCAGCATCATCATCATCATCTGCATCATCATCATCGTCATCATCAGCATCATTGTCGTCGGCGTTATCGTCATCGTCATCATCGTCACCACAACCACCAGACGCATCACCATCATCCTCCTCCTCATCATCATCATCATCAGCATCAGCAGCACCATACGTACCGAATGGCCTTCGGGTCATCCCGCCACCGTGTCTGGGTTGCGGGTGAGAGTTCTCTGAGTTGCTTGGCCCAGTCTCTTCGGAACGCTCTCTGGGGCCCCTCGGGAGCAGTTTCGGGGCCCCACTGGTGGCATCTTGGGGGCCTTCTGGGGTGCAGGTGGGAGGCAGTTTGGGAGCCTCTGTTGCGCCTCGTGGGGGCCTATTGGGGGCCTCGTGCGGGCCTTTTGGGGACTCACGGAGGCTTCTTGGGGGCCTTTTGGGGGCCTCTTGGAGCCTCTCGGGGACACTTGTGGGCTTCTTGGAGCGGCAGGATTGATTGTTCAATTCGTGTTCCTTCTCTTGGGCCCCTCTTGTCACAGTCTCTGGGCCCTCTTGGGCCTTCTTGGGTGCCTCTTGGGCCGTCTTGAGGTCCTCTTGGGTTGTCTCGGGGCCCTCTCGGGGGCCTCTTGGGCTATCTTGAAGGATCCAGGAGCCGAACGCGCGGGTACGCCAAGAAACATTTAAACACCAAAGGGCAAGCAAGGCTGTTGGCGTATTGGGGCCTCCTTGGGAGGCCTCTTCGAGGACTCGGGGCGTCTTGGAGGCCTCTTGGGTCCTCTGGAGGCCGTCTTGCGTGTCTTGGGGTGATCTTTCGGCGACTCGGGGCTCTCCTGGACCGTTTTGGGGGCCTCTTGGGGCCCTCTTGGCCCGTCTTGAGGCCCTCGTGGGCTTGTGCACAGGGGAACCGCGGGGACACTTGCGAAATTTGAGAATTTGGGTCCTGGGCCCTTGAGGGACTCCTCAGGAGTGAGTGCTGAGGCTTCTGAGCTGCGGCTTGAGGGACGAGGCAACGGACCCGAGGACACGCCCGTCAGTGTCCAGAGGCATGGTAGCGGATCATCGTCGTCGTCGACCTCGGCGTCGTCGTCGCCGTCAGCATCAACATATCCATCACCTTTTCTACCTCTACCGCCATCATCATCGTCATCATCACCATCATCATCATCATCAGCAGCAGCATCATCAGCAGCAGCATCAGGATCATCAGCATCAGCATCGTCATCAGCATCACCATCACCATCACCATCATCATCTCCATCATCATCGGCAGCATTATCATCACCGCCATCATCAACCTCATCATCAGCAGCAGCAGCAGCATCGCCATGTTCGCCATGACCAGCAACAGCATTAGTTATGCTCATTTGGATCTGGGCGGCGAGGGCGCCGTGGAGATGACGACCTCCTTGTCGAAGACTGCGGAGGCCCCATGGCGCGCGATGGGCAGCACGAGCCGACGGCGCAAGCCTGAAGAGTCCGCTCGGATTTCTCTGATCTGCGCTGGACGCCTCCTGGAGGCGGAGAGGTCAGGCTCCATTTCGACCCTTTACCGATGCGGTCCTACAGTGGAGGGCGGCAGAGGAACGGGAAGGGACTTGTTGCTGTTGATGCTTTGGTACTTGCGGCTATCTGGAACCCTTCGGCCAGACATCGAGAGGGGCTGTACTATTCTGGCCACTTGGGGCCCTGCAAGGCTCATCTTAAGACCATCTGGGACGTTCATGGGGCCATCATGAGGTGTCCAAGACCCACTGGGAGCGGAAGGGACAACACGGCCAAACCAACTAAGGCATACATTACGCTACCATTCCACTTCGGGCAACTTCAGAGCAATCGGCGCCTTCTTAAGGGCTCCTATAGCTTTGCTGGAACTCATGCTGGGCACTATTAGTTTATTTCTGGCCATATTGGAGGCAATATTGACCTATCAGGGGCAGTTTGGATTTACCTTGTTCGCCACAACTCCTCGTGAACCCTCAGGCCCATACCCCGTGGGTGTGGGGAGGAGAAGGGTTATCCAGCTACCTGCGGCACGTCGCTCCACTGTGCCAGCCCAGCATTTTGAGTGGCGATTGCTCGGGGTGCACACAGGAGGCCGCAACGTGTGAAACATCGTGTCCCGAGGTTTGTGAGAGCCGTGACATGTGACACACACATTTCCGCGTCATGTCAGGGGTTCTCTTCCCGTCTTCGTAGTCTTCCTCCCGTTCATCCGTCCTTTCTTGGGCTCGTGTGGGGGAGTGACGGGGGTCTCTTGGGTAATTGGGCCGTCTTGGGACTCTTACGGTCCGTTTCGGGGCTCTTTTGGGCCGTTTTGGGGCCCTCTTGGCCGCTTGGGGTCTTTCTTGCGGGCGTCGCTGGAGGCCATGCTTGGTCCTTCTTGGCCCGTAGAGGGGTTGAGGCTGGCTTAGGCCCTCTTTGGCCTCTCGGTAGGCCCCCTTGGGCCAGATCAGGGCTCTCTTGGGGCAGTTTTAAGGGCCCTCTTGGGCTGACGTGACGCAGTCCCCGAAGAGAACATTTAGCAACTGTTGGGATTTTCTGGGGCCGTTTTGGGCCACCGTGTAGGTGTCTCGTGTAGGGCTGTCTGGACCTGCGAGAAGCCCGAAAAGATAGCCGCCCAAGGAATTTAGATATGAATTGTTCTGTCGGGTCCTGCTGGGAGTCCTCTTGTGGCGGTATTGGGCTGTTGCGTGGCCTCTGAGGCCATCTTGAGGCCATGTTGGGCCGCCTGGGGGCAATCTTGGACCATCTTCGAGGCAAGGGTCTTGGAGGAACAGTGGCCTCGGAAGTGCGGATCCATAGTCTTCACTAGGAATGTCCCGGACGCAGAACACTCGTTTGTACGGAGGGTCTTGGGGGGACAGTGGCCTCGGAAGTGCGGATCCATAGTTTTCATTGGGGATCGTCGGCTCGGGAGGGGGGGATCCAGATTCTCGAATTTGCAGTGTCAGACAGCCTTTGGTTTTCTACCACGCCTCAACTTGCCAGGTGGCACGGTGGCGGATGCTTCCCCCCCAGGGTAAGACAGGATTGTTTTAGAACAGTCGGTGAAGTTTCTGCCCAGGGAAGTGGCCTTCAGCATCGGACGACGATGAGTCCATTAACTGCTCTGCATGGAGAGTTCGATTAAGCATGCCTGTTCGTCGCTTTGGTGATCACCATGTCATGGCCGGTTTGCAATGTGGCCACCAGGTCCTGGGTGGTTTCAATCTATCACCGGCGAAGAGTGTTGGCAGGGGCTTGATACCCCCTGGCTAACCACGCATGGCGGCAGGCACGTCTCGAGCCGATGTCGTGCTGTTGCGTGCGTAAACGGCATCCGACAACGTGTGGAGGTTTGCGGATTCGGAATCGCCCTTATCACCCCTATATGCCGCTGTCCTGTTCGGAAGCAGTGTCTTGCCAATGTTCAGTGTGGCTGCAGGGTGAAGACATTGCCTCCGGAGTGTGCTCTCTGAAGCTCGTTTTGCAGCATTTTCTGGCCGGCTTGCAATGTGGCCACCAGGTCCTGGGTGGTTTCAATCTATCACCGGCGAAGAGTGTTGGCAGGGGCTTGATACCCCCTGGCTAACCACGCATGGCGGCAGGCACGTCTCGAGTCGATTTCGTGCTGGTGCGTTCGTAAACGGCATCCGACAACGTGTGGAGGTTTGCGGATTCGGAATCGCCCTTCTCACCCCTATATGCCGCTGTCCTGTTCGGCAGCAGTGTCTTGCCAATGTTCAGTGTGGCTGCAGGGTGAAGACATTGCCTCCGGAGTGTGCTCGCTGAGGCTCGTTTTGCAGCATTTTCTGGCCGGTTTGCAATGTGGCCACCAGGTCCTGGGTGGTTTCAATCTATCACCGGCGAAGAGTGTTG